ACAAGAGCAAAGCCAATTTGTTCTCATTGTGATAAGCTGATGAAAGGCCACAATAGAGCTGAGTGCGAAAGAAACAGATTTGCAGCCACTGAATAATATTATTATACTTATAAATAAAYAAACAGCAATATGTAGAAATGATTATCTTTTTTGCTCATATAAAATATCAGAAATAATTTGTGAAATATAATCGTCAATACTTTCTTCAGAAAGTACTTGTGCAAGGTMACTTATACAAAGCATTGGCAATGATATCCCATAATTTCATATATGCTTGGAATGAGTCCAAATGATCATAATTTCTGCATATTGCTGAATATAAAATGAAATCTATATAAAGGTATAAAAGCCACGTTAAAAAAAAAACAACAACAAATGTTTGTACTTGCAATCAAGATACAAGGGTTCTTTGCTTTGTTTTGTAAATTTTAGATCTTGAAATATACATTTGGATTTGGCTGAAGAGTGTAACTACAATATTTGAAAAACAAAACAGAAATTCCTACATGAAACTGTTTCAAATATTTTAAAAGGTTAAATTTAATATGGACCAAATAAATAAAACAGAATTTTGGTGTTAATAGTTGTCCTCATATCCAGTGAATTGCTCATCTTTTTCACGAAATTTGTCCCTTATTGCATGGTGAACACATGATGGCATTGGTACTCGTTTGATACCCAAATAACCGTGGATTAAGAAAGTGAATTCCCTGTACTCAACACTTCGAAGGAATCTGAGAAAATCAATAAGAAAGGAAAGTAAAAATAATGTAAAAACTAGATATACTGTAACTCTACATCATATGACAAATATAGGCTTTGTGCGTATCGAGTTCTTCCGTTCTGTCACTTGCCTTGCTTCAGATCCCGTTTGTTTGTATCTTGTACGATCTTGACGTTTRTATTTTGCTGCAGCCGTTCTGAGAGACCATTTCTCTAAACACACAGGCGAAAATCCTGGATGAAGCGTTATACAACACGGAGGTTCACTCGTGTCCTCTAAAACCAATTTGTCGCTAAGTGCACGTACACATTCGTCAATCTCAAGGCAGCAAAAACATTCATTTATGTTTTCCAAGTGTGTTCTGTTACAGTTGCCGCATTTACACCTAACCAAGCAATAAGAAAAAGAAATTAGCTAACCTTATTATTTGTTGTTGTTGCCACAGGGACTACACCGTTCCAATGGTTACATTTACTTACCAAGAATCAACTGCTCTAATTCCTTCTACTCTGTTGAAAAGATCTTTTTCCATGTCTTTTCTTTCCTCATCCTCTTCTCTGTAAAGTTTTAGCCATTCTTCGTTGGCCAGTGGTTCGTCATTGTAAGGATCATTCTCAATGTCGACATGGTCCTCAGATGTAGACGATTCTTGACGTTCGTTTTCGTCCTCAATACGATCTTGAAACTCGTACACACCCGGAATGAAGTTATCTTCTGAGTCATTTTGACTATCATCTGAATCAGAACTGTTATCACACATTTTAAACTCCTTATTTACTGCAAAAAAACACTTATTTGACCTTGCAAACCACTACTCGACGCATCGTGTTTAGCTCAGCGTCCCTTAAGCTACGTCACAGGTCTAACTAGTTCCAGTCCCCCACAAACCACGGAATATTACGTTCAATGCCAACATTCGAGCGCTCATAAATTATTACTGAAAGCTTTTTTTATGAAATTTTTTTCAAAAATGTGATTTACAATAATCATATTTTTATA